ATGAGGTAACCATTTAATTCACAGGAGCAAAATATTAGAGAAACTGTGAATGGGATTAAGATGGATTAGGCCTTTGTCCATGGCTTCTCCCCATGTTTCCGGAGCCTTCGTCTTGCAATGGTGGAGGTGCGCATTTGAGAATCAAAAAGCTGGAGCAACGGCTTAAGAGATCCCTCTGTCGTTCCCAGGCCCAGGCTGTCGTTCCGCCCACCGTTGGAGCGGCGGAACCCGAGCAAGAAGCGGGTGGGCAAGAGCAGGCGGGCATCACACGGACAAATTGAACGAATCAAGCTGGAAAACATACAGTAGATTAAACAATAATATATTTGTGTTTTTTAAATGCTAACAGTTATGTTTTTATGCTGGATTTGGGTGGGTTATGTTTTTATGCTAAGGGTTTTTTTCTTATGTTTCTTCTTATGCTGAAGGTTTCCTTTAAAAAAAGACATCGTAAAAAGAACATGTGTTGGTTGAGCAAGTGTGGCAGTAGAACCCGGCAAAGGGTAGTCAAGAAAACTTGTCTTTAAACTGATTCCGTTGAAAAGAACGTCACAGGGAACAGAAACCATGTCTGGCGGAGATGCGTCATAGGCCTGCGCAACAGCATGATCCATTGGGCTGTTGCAATCTTATTGAGGTAAGGGGAATTGAGTGCCAAAGCAACTGTGAAAATGTAGCTGCTCATGATAGTGTTTTGCTTTTGCGGGACATTGCCCAAGAGATGTCACTGGTTCAAAAACTCAGTGGCTAAATTCTCGGAAAACTAGCCCTTCTCAAGCGAGGACAACAATGCTGACAGCGTAGTGAGTCTGTCAATTGTCCTACAGCCAAAAGTATGGTTGATTCCCCTCCGGCCAGCCTTGGACTAGATGAAAGGACATGTTTAGATCGACCATGATGAATCAACCCCTAACACTATGGCCAGCAAGGGGCAATCAACACCTGGACCGTGATCAAGTCAGCAGCCCAGCAGCCCCAACCCACCACTGGGCGGAGCGGCCTCCGCGTGCAGTTCTTCCAGCCTGGCAGGACCACGACCCAGCGACCCAACTCGCGACGTCACACAGGACCCAGCAGCCCAGCGACTTGAGCCGCAAATCAAAGCAAATGATCAGTAAGGCCCACTGGACCCAGTTGAACACTTGGTAAAATTTGCTATTAACTGGGTGTCTAAGGCACCCTGTCTTCTTATACTGGAAAAGCATGGAGCAACCGTGAGTGCGGAAGAGGAAAGACTTGCCCAAACGCCCTGAAACCCACCAAAACCGATGTTCGGCTCCAAGACATCGCCAGCCCGGCGACGTTTGCAGGGCACAGAAGCGAGGCTTGAGCCTAGTTTGTGCAATTGAAGCTGCGTGGCCCATCGTGTCAACCTCACTCTTGGGGATGTTGCTATGAGTATGATTCCCCTAGACGTCCAGTTCGACGATTTTCCACCACCCAAGTAAAGGACATTCCTTTTCGGATAAAGACCCTTGTAAAAATGGTCTTGGACTCCCAGGGATTCTATATCAATCACTGTAAAAATTCAGCGTTTTGCTACATGTTGATACCAAATGTCTGACTTGTCCTCATGGCTCGATAGCTAAGACTATCGCTGACAGTCGCTCCTAGAGAAACTATCGCATCTTCTGAAATGAATGAAAAGGAAAGCACGTGGATCCGCTTTGCCGCGCTGGCGAGGTGAACAACGCTGATACCTGCATGCCTACAGTGATGACGTTGAACTGAATTACAGTAGTATCTGCTATCGTCAATCCTAGTGATGACCTGTGCAAACTGGAAAACCTGCGCAGCCTTGCGCAAAAAAACGTCCGATATCTTACACTCTTCGGCCATGATCACATGCACACTGAGCCCATCCGAGCCCACCTATCACCTGTTGCGACCTTTAAGGCCCGGGCCGTCCCCGCAGGTCGGCCACCGAGTCGTGGTCAGCGCCCTGGTGGGGAAGATGGTAGGAAGACTGAGTAACAAGGGCATTTACTATTAGTAAGAAGCTACTAGTAACAAGGTAATATCTTAATATATCCTATTATCATCATATTATCTCCTAAAATATTGTGATCCTCAACACAAATATGTCTCATGTAGACTAGGTAGACTGTGGATTAATCAAACACCCTCATATTAAATCTTATGTATAGAGGCTTTACATTGTTTTTTTTAATCCAAATGGGTGGTTCTATTCTGTTTCATGAATGAATCAATATTCTGTACTATACAACGTCCATTGATAAAGTGCGCTTGTAAATGATTGTAACATGTCACATGTCGCTAAACACTTTCACGCATCAAACTTGTTATTCCAAAAAAACACGAATGTCTGACCTCAGTTCAACAGTTTGGCCCAGCTGGTCAAGAAGTAGTAGCAGGTGGGTGTTGAGCTGCAGTGTCCAATGGCCATGCCTGAATATCCCAAGATACTCCAAGAGCAAAAGTAAAAATGGTCGTTATCGTGAGCAGAGAGACTAGTTAATTCCTTTTGTCACTTTCTTTCGTCAAGACCATTGAATAACTTCGTAGAGCAGCATACAGCATACCCATGGCTCGAATGGTTATCTCCCTCAAAGTAGTTCATCAGCTTCGAACCCCCGCACCCAGGTTCATTGCCATTGCAATGACGAAACAACTGGGTTCCTTCTTTCTCGAAGATCTCTGTCCTTTTCCGCCACTGCTCATCGCTCATCAAATCAGAACGACTCACTCACCAATCAGAACGGCAGGCGCGGTGTACCGCAGAACGACGTTCCGATCGCAAGACCGGTGGGTTCGTCCCGCAAGGGCGTGCGTTCTCACTTCGCCTCAAGACACCTCTCACTTCGCCTGCACTCCTCGCTGCACTCGATCCACTCCACGCTCCTCTGGGATCCACACTCCGCTGGCACCGGCGCATCCATGGCGTATGTCCACGCTCAGAGCGGAGTGGCGTTTTTCTCCGAGTTCCGCGAGCGGCGCTTCGATGCCCAATGACTCAGGCACAATCGATGCAAAGGCCTTGACACGTGAGGTGCTGCAAGGTGGGGAAGTTCACATGCTCCAAGCTTTGGCGGAAGCCATGTCCCAAGATCAAACCTCACTCGCCAGGGCATGCGCATGCCATTGCATGCATGTGCTGAAAAAGAAGACAAAGACTGAGTTGTGCATGGTGCGTTGCCTCGAAGAAAAATCACAGCATCCATAAATCTGATCCATAAATCTGGATAGACTGGGTGTCTGACTTCCATGAGCGACTTCCATGAAGACTTAGCACGGCACCAAAACAAACCATGGTCCCGGGTCGCATGGTACCCTGAGTCTGATGGTTTTCCTTTACTGGCCGTGGTTTTCAGGGTCCATGGGATCGTTGAAAAGGGGTATCTGGTAGAGAAAAAACAACACCAAGCGACTTCTCAAGCCACTTGGGAAGTTGAAACCATCCAAGCTCTGATTGAAGGACTCTCCGATCTTCAATCGCTCCAGACCCGCTGGGAATCGCGTCCTGCCAGTGAAGGCAACTGAAGATGCGGCGAGTAGGGTGTTCGTTTGCCCAACCCTTGGGCGGATGGCCCTTGAGAGAAGCTCGGACTCCCGAGCCGTTTCCCTGGAAAATAGAGCTTAACTGTTAACTGAGCTTAATCAAACCTTCCACCTGTTCGCATCTCTCGTGGCGAAACCAAACCCCCAAGCAGGCGAGGTGTTATCCACTGGCTGGGTGACTGGATACCTGAAAGAAGTTGGGAACCTAACATCTACAGGTACTTCAAAGTGGCAATTCGGTGAACATATGACTTCATGGTGGTTTTCTGTGCTTCTTCGCACCAGTACATGGGAGCGAAAAAAGGAACTCTGGTGAGTATGCTAAGTTCCCCCTGTAGTTTTAGATGCTCCCCAGCAGCGGTTCCCCCATACTTGCCCCCAAGTGAATCAGAAAACGGTCCCAGCTTGTGTGCCACAGCAACTGTGGTCATGTCCAAAAGAACTTCAAAAGAACCCAACAGCCCCGCCGTATGGACCTGTTTTTGGGCCGAAGCCCCCTTCGCCGTCCTCTCCAAGGAACGGTTGAACAGATCCCCCAAAATCAAGCTCTTCAAGGTCTCCGGGAAGACCACGTGGTCCAAAGCCTTGGATCTTAAGACTGGCCCGACCGGACGATCTCAAGTCGTGCGTCGTCTTGCCACCATCTGCCGGTCACCCAGACGATGTGTAAACTATTCAGTATTAAACAGGTGGCCATGTGTAAACTAGTCTAACCAAGTATTCTTCCTGTTACTTTTCACGGTGCCTCACCACCCTTGGAATGGATTGGAATGGTGATAGGATCGAAATAAGACATGTGCAAATGGCGCATTCAAGATGATCTCGGACGACTTTGCGAATTACCTGTGGACCCAAAGATGAGAGGATTGGTCAAGAATTCACCGTCCCGACCGACCACTTGAACAGTGTCTAAGTTCCTATGTATATAGCTTTAGCCAAAACCTCATGCCGACCCAGGCACCCCCAATCAACCATACCTAGAACTCCCTCTTGGGCAGACATTTCTGCCTATTCCGTGTTTAGGCGTTCTTGTCCCGTGTGGCGTACTTGTCCTTTGGCGGGGCAATGCTCAAAAGAATAAGGATCCAGCAGTTATTGGTTCCAGGATCTCCCCTATAGTGATGATGAGCACCCTACAACCAGAGGCTATAAGTACATTGGTTCATCATGACTTGGTATGATTTGATGCTTCAGTTGTGTATGTTGGTGTTTCTATGTTCATGGGTCATTGTTTTTGCGTAGGCTTTCTTCCGTCACTTGGGCATTGTTGCCCGTTACTTAGGCGTTCTTGCCAATTGCTTGGGCGTTCTTCTTAACCGTGCCCCCCTCACTACAATCAGTGGTGTAAATAGGCTGGACAAAGGAACTGTAGCCTTTGGGGGAGTGACTGACAGAAATTTTCAAGTCTTTGGACCGGGGACCAGCGTCAGGTGGCAAGCGTTTGTCGTCCCAGAAGCCTTGCATCCTCTTGTTGCCTCATATTAACGTAGGAACGATTGTACCTCAGCGTTCTTGACCCTCGAGGCTGCAGCTAGGCGTTCTTTGTGAAAATGGGCGGAATTGTCTGCCTAAATGAAGTTGGGCAGAATTGTTTGCATCAGACATGGCGGATTTGTTCAAGTGATTCAAGTGTCCGAAACATTCTGAAACAAGGGGATGCGAACGCAAGGGGGGGATATCATGCAAAGCCTGGAGTCCTGGAGGAGGCATTGAAATCTATATTAATTATATAACACCTGTATAATAACATTTCTACTGGGTCCCATTTTCGAGCCAGAGCCCATCCATCCCAGAGGCATGATTGAAGTTGCGTCCCAAGGTCAAGGCCAGCAGGTTCTCTGGCAGTGTCACGTGATCCAATCGCTTCTCAAAGCTGCGTCCAAAGGTCAAGCGTAGCAGGCTGGGCGGAAAGCTCACATTTTCTAAGCTCTTGTTGAAGGCATCTCCGAAGGTCAAGCTTTGCAGATGCTTGGGTAACTCCACCTGGCCATCGGGCAAGACTGAAAGGTTCAAGTCGGAATGTATTGAAGAGCCGGCAAGAGCCGACTTGTCAAGCAGGTTTTGAGGTCTGGCTTCGACATGTTTTGAGGTCGACAGCTGACAGCAGTCCCCGTAGCTTCACCTCAACCGAAGGATCCCGGCCGGGCCGAAGGCGTTCGGCGCTTTCACCGAGCCTTTCACCCCAATCTGGTTCCGGTGGTTCAGACTCCCGAACGGGAAACTCATCAAACGGATCACTCAGAAAAAAATAACAAAAACGCTCTTGGGCACCGATCTCCGGCAGCTCATTCTGAAGCAACAAACACATGGACTCTGTCGGTAAAACCCTGTGAAGCACAGCAATCACAATCCGTCCCACCAACGCGTGACGCAGCACATGAGCAACAGGACGGTGACGCATCAGTTGGTCATGATTTTTGTCGAACGGCAAAATTCTGCCAACCAAACGACACAAGTAAGAAACCGCTTCCACCAAAAAAGGAAAACATGGTAGTAACTGGTATAAAATAAACTATATACACACATCTCATACGTATCATATATATATATAACCATTCAATTAATACATGATTCATTTCTCCTGACCCCCAAAAACGGGCCCAAAAGGCCCAAAACCCACCTCGAAGAGTTGGTTGTAGTTCTCGCCCAAGGTCAAACTCTCCAAGCTGGCTGGAAGGTGCAGGAGCTCGGTTTTTTCGCGGCCCAGCGCCAGGCTCTTCAAGCGCTCCGGGAGTCTCACCTGACGGTATTCTTCGGTGTTCTTCGGCCTGTGAACATTGAAAAGCATGGCATAGAAGACAGGGCCACTGAAAAGTGGGGAGGGCACATGGGGCGGCACTCGAGTGAATGCCGGGCAGTGGATGGCTTAAATTCTACTATACTGCTCGGCCGTTGGATAGATACCCTAAAGAAACACCTTGCAACTGCCGCCGCATCCCCCAAATGTTCAGAACAATTTCAGGAGACACTTTCAAACGACCCAAACCATGGCAACATGCTAGAACAAACCACAACCACCATGAGATTGGTGTGTAAACTGGGTACCTGGTATCACTGTGTTTCACTCACACGGATGAGAAGAAACATGAAGGACTAGTTGCGCTGGATGGTTGAGACCTTATCCAATCAGCCGGTTTGGTTCACGCTCTCGCGAAGAACAGGCGAGATCGCACTGATTCTCGCCTGTCGTAGGGGTAGGTCACCCAGGCTCAAACTTTCAAGACTCCCAGGAAGCTCCACCTCTTCCGCGTCCTGTGCAAGTGAGTCTCTTTCTGAGAGAAGAACACAATGTTCACACAGCTTGCAAAAAAGGCATGCCCGTCTTTGACCGGCAGAAATAGCTCATGGGTTTCCCGAATTAGGCCTCATTGGTGCAAGCAAAAAATACCAAAACAAGGAAGAGCAGGCCACTGGGATGGTCCTTGAAGCCCTCTCCCAGGATCAAAATCCGCAAATGTGGTAGTCCAACTAAATGGAGCGGCGATCCAGATCTTAAGGTCAAGCTCTGCAGGGCAGATGGGAAGACCATGAAGCTTTCAGGGGCCAAGCCGCCCACCGTCAAGTCCTCCAAGTTCAAGGGCAAACTCCGAGACAGGTGAGCAGCAGAAGGAACATCTGCATATGCGCTCGGGTTTTGGCGTCCGAGTGACAAGGACTTCAAGCTCGACAGGTGATGCTCCAGGCTATGACTGAAGCTATCACCCAGAACCAGCGTATGAAGCCTGGGGAACAAAGAGGTGGACTGCTCCTGCGCTGGCTCCGAGCCGGAAAGCACCGCAGGCGAATCTGCTGCGGGAAGGACTTGATTGAACTTCTGGCCAAGCATCAAGGTCCCCAGGTTCGGGAGATTGGCCAAGCCATCTAAGGGCTGATTGAAATCCCTGCGGAAGATCAACTTCTCCAAGTCTTGTGGCCAAAGCACCTGGTTCAGTCGTTGATTAAATCGATCGCCAAAGGCCAAAGTTCTCAAGTGAATCGGTAGCATCGTAGAGTCCAAGCTCTGATTGAAGCGATCGCCAAAGCTCAAGTGACGCAAATGCGGAGGCAAAATGGTGTGCGCCAGGGTCTGATTGAATTCGAACCCAAAGGTCAAGCTTCTCAACCTCAATTCACACGAACCGGTGCCATGATCACACATGGACGCACATGGACACACCGCACACCTGAACCGTTGCACCTGCATCAACATCTACAAAGATCCAGGCAACCATGGCTCTTCATGGTTCTTCAACTTCTTTGGACTCGGTCGAAAAAAGAGCGGTTCCACTGGTTAACCTCTGTTCTGCCTGTTGTGGTTGAGTGGGGAAGCCCCAATTTTGCAAGGGCTGGGGCAGGTGATCCACGGCCATGGGATCCAGGCATGGCCAATGGCTCTTCAACTTCTTCAACAGATCCCTGCATCGAAAAAAGGGGAAGTTGGTCTTCTCCGAAATTCCCATGCAAACCACGGAGCAAATTCCCGTGCTAGGTAGCAGACCTTGGACATCCTAAATGATGCAGATCTCGGCCCAAAGATGAGTTCGTTGTGTAGTGCCAATACAGTTACAGGGCCCTGCAAGCGTTCACGCTTGATGGATAAAAAAAACCGCCAGGTATTGAGTTGGCATGCGGTTCCATGCGTTGCAGGCCAGTTGCTGTTCCGGCAGCTTGACCACCTCCATTCGTTGGTTAAACGCATGTCCTCAGTGGCGTCCCTTCACGTCGATTCCGTCTCACAGGGCCCCAACCAACGCCGTCCACGCCTCCCCGGTTCCAAGGGGCCGATCTTTGGGGCGGAGGCCGGAGCAGCCACTTACTGGACGAGAAAACAAGAAACCACTTGGAACTCTTGGTTTGCTTGTGTTCGCCTTAGTTAAAGCATGCTAAAGTTAAAGTCTGTTAAAGCCATTTAAATTAAAGGCGTTTTCCTCTCTCAAGATCTCGTGAGCACTCTCGAACAGTTGAGGCTGTTGAGGCTCCAAAGGTCAAAGCTTGCAGCTGCGGTGGCAGGGAGACGTTCTCAAGGCTCCGATTGAAGCACCGCCCAAAGGTCAAGCTCAGCAGCGCACTGGGGAGATGGCTCCGAAGCAAACTGCCTCGCGACACCAGGGCGAAACATCGCTGCGTTCGCTGGCTGTTGTTGTCCCCTCGCGTTCGGGTTGGATCCATGTTGCCTTTCTTCGCAGTGCATGGGACATCGCCCCACAAGTCACCGTTCACCCTTGAGTCCCTTGAGGAGACTTCTGTGCAGAAAGAAACTGACCACTCCCATCATTGCAAACTCATGTTGGAGTGGCAGTCTGCAGGAGGTGCGTTCAATCAACAATGGCCCAACGTAAAAAAAGACTCGTACAGCGAGGTCAAGACGTCTTGGGCGACTCCGTCTGTGAAGGTCGGTCCTTTCATCCTGCTACAACAAGACTCAGCAAGATATATCGAATCCGCTCTTGGCTCAGCAAGATTGGTGTCCCATCTCCGCTGTACATCGGAGATGTTTCGATGTTGGGCTTTGGTCAATACCCAGTAGCTTCGGCTAGGCAGATTTCCAAATATTAAGCGTATTGTATAAGCCATATATACAGTATTATTCTTGTAATTGACCCATTTGCACCAATTTGGGTCTTGACGCAGAGGCGTCAAACTCTGGCCTCAGGTTCTGGGTCGTTTTTTCTCCAAGTCACGGTCAAAGGAATTGCCAAAGCTTAAGTGTTGCAGGCCGACCGGGAAGCTGATGTCCTCATGTTCGCCGGGAAGCGGACATACTAGTGGCTCGCTACGGCTGACAGCTAGGCGCCGTGACCAGTTCGGGGACCATGACCACGACGCCTGGAAGCGCGAAATTCAACATCTTCCATGCTATGGCCAACTTAGCCAGGAGATGCCACGGAGTGTGCCCACCAAATGTCCAAGAGTTTAGAATGCCTGAAAGCCGATGCGCAGATGATATAATGATGAACAAATGATCCCCAAGAATCACTCTAGACAATGAAACGATCCCAGTATCGATTTGCACGCCAAACAGAATCAAAAATAACATGATTAAACCATACGTATTGAAAGAAAAATCTGCTGTTGCCTAACGACAAACAAAGCTTTCGCCCATGATCGCCCTGTCGGCCCCATGATCGCCCAGCTCCTCCAAGAGCAACTCAGCTTGGCCCAACCTCAAGCTCTGCAAATGACAGAGCTGAGTGACGTTCACCTCCCGACATCAGGTCGCGACATCAGGTCGCACACCATCAGCGTCGCGGAAAAACCCTCGACCCCCGGATGTGTGTTCTTTTGAGGCGGCCCACCCTTGAGTCAGTGTGGATGCTCTATGGCCCACGTCTGCGGCAGTAGTAGTAGTAGTAGTAGTAGTAGTAGTAGTGGTCGTAGTAGTGGTCGTAGTAGTGGTCGTAGTGGTGGTCGTAGTGGTGGTCGTAGTGGTGGTCGTAGTGGTGGTCGT